AGACCCAAGTTTATAATTTGAAGGGTATTGTGAAAGCGGATCCATCGAAAACCTCGTCCGAGTTATCTGCAGGCTGCGGTGTTAGTGATAAAACTGTTTTAATCCACTTGAAGCAAATTGGAAAGATTAAAAAGCTTGAAAGGTGGGTACCTCACGAATTGAGAGAAGCAAACCGGTAAACGCGCTTCGACTGCTGCGTTACATTATTTAACTGGCACAATAATGAATGGTTTTTAAATCGAATCATTACCTGTGATGAAAAGTCGATTCTCTACGATAATCGGAAACTCTCATCGCAATGTTTGGACCTTGGCATGCCAGCCAAATCCTGCCCCAAACGAAAATTGACCCCAAAAAAGTTACTTGTAAGCGTTCGGTGGACTAGTGCCGGTGTCGTTCATTAGTGTTTTCTCAAATCCGGCCAGACGATTACGGCAGACGTCTATTGTCAGCAAGTGCAAACCATGCTGGAAAAACTAGCTGTTAAACAACCGAGGCTGGTCAATCGCTCTACACCACTGCTAGTTCACGATAACGCTAGACCACACGTTGCACAACAGACGGCTACCAAATTAGAAGAGCTTCAATTGGAATGTCTAAGACATCCACCGTACGCCCCGGAACTTGCTCCAAAGAATACCATTTTTTTCGAAATTTGGATAACTTCTAGCAAGGGAAAAAAATCAACTCCGATGGGGCAGCGCAAATCGCCTTCAAAGATTTTATTGATTATTATATTAAGAGTATATTAAAAAATATTCGACTTTTTGTTGATGCCATACCAAACACCAATTTCATATGTAAGGACCTAATATATTGTAATGGGGGCAAAACATTATATTTAAAGTTATTAAACAGCGATTTGTGATTTTATCTACATGGACTTTTCGACACTGACTGAGCTTTCGACTACCAACTATAAGTTGTGAACATCAACATAATTAAGAGATTGCTCATAATAACTCGGTTCTATATTTCTCTCAGTGTAATTTATATATGCATATTTGTCCTGTTTTATTGAATAAATAAAATAAATTTAAGTCTTCTTTAGAATGAATTTTTAATTTCCGCTAATATAGCTCCCAATAATTAATGTAATTTGAAGTTATAGTGGCATAAGTTAGACGACATAAGTTTGGGAACCCCTGATCTAGTCTATGGTTCCATCGCTAATTAAACTTTTTCTTGATGTTCTTTTTGTTTAGTCGAAATATCTTCTGGCACTTCAGTACCTTTATGTGTATTTCTCTTAATTTCTACTTCAACAATCCGCGCACTTATTTTCTTTTGGCATATTATATGAAATATTAAGTCTTTTAATTGTTTGTCGATAAAGTTCTACACTACAGCGAAAATCTTTACCTTTACTACTACTATAAACTTAGTTAGCAAAACTTAGTAACTCAATATTTTAATGTCTTACGAAAACCACAAAATATTGTTTCTATACATTTATTCTAGGTTTTTTAATTTTGTAGACTTACCAGGTTTTGAAATGGGACAGCCGCAACGATTAACACGACTGTAAAACGACCGTTCATTGTTAAATGTATAATAAACATTTAATAAATTATTTAATTCTAACAATTTCCTATCATTTTAATCTTCATGAAATGCACTTTTTGTGAGTAAAACTTTGGTTAGCTATTAGTTTTATACTTTTTGACAAAATTGCATCAGAGTTCCAAGTGAGCGGGTGGCCCGGTTTATTTACTGTCCTGTGTATATTAGTAGTGGGTGATTTTATATAAAACTCAAAATCTCCTTGTTACGATGTGTAATTGATACACATACAGGACTGATCAAAACAATCTACTAATGAATAACAATCTACTTATTCGCAACTGAATATGGGCCGTAAGATCCAATACAGGAAACTAACGTACACGATTTAACGTAAGGGGGTTAAGCTTAAACTTTCATAATTTCTTTATACTAATACAATTATACAAAGAAAAGATATACCGCAATTCAGAGGACTACAGAGTCATTCATCAATTGCAGAGTAAACAACGCATTTGACAGCGATTGTTTTAGTATGTTTATTACGATTTCGAAGTTTGGTACTACAATAGTCAATAACAACATAAAATTATTATCAACGAAGTTTTTTGCTCCTGTTAGACCAAAGTGATAGGTTAGAAATTTAACGCGATGGCGAAACGTGGCTTAGTATTTTGAGGGTATTTTTTAAAGTTATAACAAAACTAATGTCATAATGATTCAACTAGAAAACTAGGGGTGCAATTGCGCCATTCAATTAAAAGGCTAGCCTCCTAATGTTTTTACCACTTGGCTGCGATTTATATACTCGGTGGAACAGAACGACCGACACTCCCGAGGTTCCTGGAGAGTACTATTTGTCTTTAATATGATGTAAAAAAAATTATAAGTCTAGGTCAAATAGTTTCGGAGATAATAAATTACAAAGTTTTTGAAAAAAATGGGTGTTTTCAACCCTGAGTCAGCTGTTTTTGGGACGTATTAAGGAAAAGTTATAAATCGGTCATTGACTTCTTCATTTCTAAAAACGAAATAAACTAGTTTGTGATTTATAAGACTGCTTTCGTGCAACTTCTACCAGACAATCAATAAACAAGGCAGTCAAAATGCTTAAATCGATTTACTGACTAACAGCCGGTTTCTGATTTGAAAAAAGTAGGAAATTTCTACTGCTTATTCTCAATAACCTAAGTTTTTTTAATTTCACAAGTCTAATAGTCCTAGTTTTATCAAACTGCTATCAACTGATCATCAAAAAACTAATATCGGAAACGAAAACTAAGTGATGTTAGTTTGAGACGTTTAACTTTAAATTCTCAATTAAGAAACCGAGTGTAAATTTCCTAAATTATTGTAGAGAGATCAGTCTCATATTAACCTACGTTATTTTAAATTCTCCAAAAAAATTGTAATACTCCTTTAACAACGGGATCGTTAATTAAATTCGATAAACTCACAAATCTTCCAGAGATTCATCATTAACACAAATGAACTTTGTTTTAAAATCTTTGAGGAATTTGTAATTAAAATAGCATTTAAAAAGAACATTAAAAAATGCGTGATATCAAAAGACGAAAAAAAAATGTGACCCGAGTTCGTCCCTCGATATCAAAGCCCCACCCGCCCGCCAGCCGCCAGGCGGCTTCATTATTCTGTCGATATTTTCCGGCCGATCAGTCGCCGTTGACCTTTTGCGCTGGAGTGTTGTTGCGCATCGCCGCCGACGCACGGCTGCGAAGCGTCTTTTTTGTCGATTTTTGTTTTGTTCTAGTGCATTTTTAATTGAATTTTTGTTAATAAGATACTAGAGTGTTCGTCTTAAGTGTTAAGTTTATTTCAGTGAAGATTGTGTTTAGTTTTGTGTGAAATGTGATGTGTTTTACACGTGCATGCACCGGCATTGAAAAGAGCGTGCTTAGCTCAGTCTTCAGAGAGGAAGTGGGCATTTTCAGCATCGACTATCATTAAGATATCGGTAAATAATTAAATTAATGTGTTTCGCGGTTCGTTGTAATCTGCACACAATCGATATTGCGCATGCGCGTTATCGGGCTGTCAACACTTAGAAATTTAAAATGTTTACTCCATTTTTACACCTAGAGGAGGTGTAAATTTTTTTAAATATTTTTAAATATTTGTCAAATAAAATGAACGTTTGCATGTAACCTAACTTGAAACTTTCGGCTGTGTCGGTCATTTTGTTCCTCCCAGTATTTATTACATCGATAACGATTCAGTACAGTACAAATGTTGTGATAAATATTTCTTATGAAATAATTTGCTATGACCACATACACCATCATCCACATATTAAAAAACTTAATTAATGATAAACATAGTTGTTAGACTTACAAAACATATTGCAACCACTACAAGATTCACTTGGACCAACATAAACGCAAAAATAAATAACTACTGATGAATTGATATATTTTAGACTTGAGTAAATCGCTATGTTTGAAATATATCTTTATATCGTCGTAACACGATAACTGCGAGTGAATGAAATAATCCTTGTAAAACCTCTAGTTCGCTCTGAAGTTGTGTCGCGTATGTATACGGTATTTTATGAAGATAAAGATAAAGTTTATTTTCTTACCTCGCCTATGTTCGAAACACCTTCAGAGCGATCTAGAGGTTTGGCACAGACTATACGTTAGGTAAATGCCTATGAAAGAAGTCTCACATCAATCCGATAAATAATAAAAAAATATATGGTTAAAAAGTTTGTGAAATTTAAAGTAAATATTCGACAAATATTTTATTAAATAATAATGAAATATATTTTTAAATCAGGAATTAAAATGTCTAGATATGTAAATTTCTAGATATGTAGTCTGTGATTGTAGTCAAACGAAACATCAATCAGTGCGTGACATCTGATATTGATATACGAATTTAAATAAGTAAATAATGATTAGGTAAATGAATGTAAGGAAATGTAAATAAAATTGTAAATAGCCATTGATTTCTTTAATACCCGTCAACATAATGATCTCAAACTAAAAGAATTACCTAACTGTACTTTGAATATTCGTGTTCAATTGAATATTCATCTTTTATATCTCGCTCACAGAAAAAGAGAACAAACAGAACCTGTTCTCCTCCGAACTGAGCGAGATATAAAGATAGATTCGAGTTAAAAGATATACTTACCTACATACATCGTCTCTCTTTTCACGCGAGTGATATGCATCGCGCAAGGCTACTTATTCACTAGCGTGTGATGTCATACGTGGCGTAATGGCGGCGAACGACAGACAGCGTTTTCCGCGCTTTTCCGGAAATTTAAATTTCGACTTTTATTTTTATTTATAATTACAGTTAATTTCCACAAAATATTAATGTAAATAGCTTATCATGTGATAAAGAATAATATAAAACTATTTTTTTTAATCAGTCAAATACCCTATTTTACATACCCTAAGCACATAAAGTTATCGAGTTTATTCGAGATAAATCAAACCAAAGAGTAAAGGGCTATGTAGATAAGTATAGAAAAGAATAGTAAGTGCTATAGACGTGATCACTTAATTTGTGGATTTTTATTTACGTAATTTATAAACAAGACAGCGAAACATAATGAACACTTCAGAAAATCTGTCAAAATGTTTGATAGAAACAAAAGATGGTCCTATTATGGGATATATTGATAAAGGAGAAGAGGGCATTTACTATAAATTCAAGAGAATACCATATGCAAAACCACCGTTGGGAACATTAAGATTCAGAGTAAGTTGATAATAAACGATTACACAATTAATATTCTATTCAGCCTAATTTTTTATTAAATATGTTGTCCTCATAATTCATTTATAGATTTAATAGCACTACATAAATTGTTTTTCGTTATCATAAGTAAAAGTTACCTTTATTAATCAAATAGATAATAAATTTGACTACATTTAAAGATTCCTTACATATTACCGAAAGCAAATATTTATCTTTTATAGCCACCATCTGCTGTTACGCCTTGGAAGGAAGTAATTGACTGTACACAAGACGCTGACTATCCTATATACCTTCATGATGAAAAAATTGTGGGATCAGAAGATTGTCTTTATATAGAAATCTCTACAAAAAGTATCAAAAATAACACACCTATGCCAGTAATGTTCTGGATTGGAACATATGTGTTTTCTGTTAACATAGATAATTATTTTAATCCTTCATTATTGAATGATCATGGTGTTATATTTGTTAGATGTGGATTTAGACTTGGACCATTTGGATTTCTATCTATTAATGAGTTCAATGCACCGGGTAACTGTGGTTTAAAAGATTTAGTGATGGCATTGAAATGGGTTCAAAACAATATAGATAAATTTGGTGGCGATCCAAATAATGTCACAATATTCGGAAGTAGTACAGGAGGTTCAGCTGTTCATTTACTGATGATGTCACCCATGGCATCAGGATTGTTTCATAAGGCCATAATACAAAGTTCTAGTGTCTTAAATAATTGGTCCTTGACAAAAAATCCTATATTGTCGGTAATGGAATTATCTAAAAAACTTGGTATTACAAAGTTACATCCAGTAGAAATTGTAGAGGAGTTAAGATTGTTTTCAGCCGAAGAAATTATAAAAACAACATTCTACTTAGAGGATAAATTAGCTAAATTAGATGATTGCAACTTTTTTGATAGTTTTTTCAAACCATGTATAGAAAATGATTTGGAGGGTCTGCCGGCCTTTTTAACAAAAAGTCCAATCCTAATATTAAAAACTGGTAATTTCAATAAAGTGCCAATAATTATTGGCTCTAATAATATTGAGGGATCTGTTTTACAATTCATTAATAATGATTTTTACACAAATTTCCATAAATACAATGAGGATATTTGTCACATTGTACCTAAATCACTGTCATGTGAACCAAAATACTCCAAAGATATTGGCCAAAAATTATTAAAATTTTATTTTGGAGACGAATGTGAAATTAATGAAAATACTAAAACCCAATATTTACAATTGATCAGTGATTATTATTTTTTATATTATGTCAATAAAACTGTCAGATTACATAGTGAGTTTGCCCCTGAAAGTCCAGTGTTTTATTATATAGTTAATTGTGCAGGTGAATGGTCTGTTCCAGAAGAATTGTCATATTTTTGTAACTTAGGACACAGTGCAGAAATTCCATTTATATTCCAAATAAGAACAACAAATTCGCCAGTTGATCCCAAGATGTGCAAAGGCTCAAGAGACTCCATAACTACAAGGAGCAGAGTTGTCAAAATGTGGACTAATTTTGCCAAATTTGGGTATGTTGATAAAAATTATTTATAAAACAAAAATAATAAATTTACTCTAATTTTACCTACTTCTTTTCAGAAATCCTACACCAGAAGACGATGATCCACTGTTACAAATTAAATGGGACTGTGTTGAAAATAAAGAAAAATTAAATTATCTTAGTATAGGGACTGAACTTACTAAAGGTAGAAATCCTTTCCATGAAAGGATGATATTTTGGGAAGAGCTCCATAAAGAATACACTTTTTTAAGAATGCTTGTTTATTTCAATGATATGGGGGTAACATGGTAAGGTAATAAAGTACTTTTTCTTACCAATAATTTCCACCTATGCTTGTCTTTTAAATGATATTTGCACTGTGTAAATAATATAGATAGTATGCTGACTAACAAACGACAAAAATTGGATTCCTAAATAATCATACCTACTGTGCACAGCAGCAGATCATATTAGGTGCTAAGAACGCCGAATTTCTTAGCACCTAATATGATCTGCTGCTGTGAGAAAGTGAGAAAGTGAACTTTATTGCAATCTGATTGAAGTTGATGTCAATAAAGTAACCCTGATGTGCTGAAATCCATTTTAAACCAGACACTCAAAATGTTAAGACTAGACATCAATTGAAAAGATATTACATTTAGTGTAGTTGGCTCTACATAAAACTTATCAAATAAATGTATGAATATGTTAATACAGTTAAAACAAATTACTAATATTATGTACTCTCGTTTGATTTGTTGTAATTTATTAAAAAAAAAAAAGTATAAAAGTTGGGGTGTGAAACAAAACAGTCACAAGTTATGGTATCAATGTGTAATAGTTATGAGCAATAAAATGATTTCATTCACATAACAATATACAGTTTTATTTTATAAGTAACAAAAACTGACATGAAGGCCAACAAAATATAATTTTTAACTACAATAAAAATGAACTAGATAATGCCGTTATCTACAATAGCAAAATATAAAGCGCGTTTTGTTAATAATTTCAAACATATAAATTAATAATAAAATGACTTATACATAAACGGTGCAAAATATATTTATACACTCAGGTGTAATTGTTTGTTCAAAAAATTCATTGTCTAATGAAGTCCATACTCCAGCATATATAGACATCTGTAAATAAAGATAAAATAACCGTTAAAGCATAAATTTAGTAAAAAATATAAACAATATACATGTCGACGCTAGAAAGCAAAGACTTAATTAGTACCTGAAAAATCAAAATTGTTCTTCAGAGCAGACAAAACAATTTACTTCCGTATTCAACTTAAGAAACGAAATGAAATAAAAGTAAAGAATAATTTAAGATTATGTTTTCTTTCTAGCGTCAATGCGTAATTAAGACATATTTTTTTTACATTAACGTCTCAAACCACTTTGATCTGAAATTCACTTTAAGGCGTTAAAAATTACTATGGAAATTCGTTATTGTACATGACTACTCCTGAACGTATTATATTGAAAATTGAATTGCAATAAAGACTAGATCAAGTAAGTAAAGACGTTAACAATTATTAAAGACGAATTATTTAAAAAAAAAAGTAGTTCGTATGTTCAGACTCTCTTCAATTCTGAATCAATACTCAATATAAATTCATAAAATAACCATGAAGTGGAATAAATTGCCATGAAGAGAGCATAAGATACCACAACCGAACCTAACTAACTAACCACAGAGTAATTTACCGTTCTTGACTATTACAGTATTGTTCTAATTTCTCATATTCGGTGCCGAATTAGCCACATAGCAAATGCTAAGGGCCCCGCGCAATTGGGAGACTCGCTGTGATCTAACTATTTAATTAATTTTCCCGTCAATGTTAAAAAATGCAAGAAATATAATAAGCCACGGTTAACTCACATTAAATATAGGTAACAAACATAAACTGACAAATAAAACACAAGTCACAGAGTAGTTATATTTTGTTAGGAAAGCGAAGAACGAGTTTTCTGTTTCGTTTGCAAATTTGCCGATTCTGATCATTCTTCATTCCAATTCCAATCACCTAATATATCTTCATGAAAGATATATTAGGTGATTGGAAAAATTCCCTCAATTTTTTGAAAATCCATAAATCTTAAAATACCATTATTTTGTTGTTAAACCTTAAAAACCAGAAGGCGCGTGTTGATACTCACATTATATCTAAAATTGAGTCTGAACAGTTGTATTGGCGATTACTTTTACAATGAAATGATACAAATCAAGAAGTGTGTTTGTAAGAATTATTTGTTACTAGTGGACGCCCGCGACTTCGTCCGCGTGGAAGTCGGTATCCCGTGGGAGTGAGAAGTTTTCCCAGTAAAAAGTACCCTATGTGTTATTCTGATGTATAACCTATATTGCTGTAAAGTTTTATCCAAATCCGTCCAGTAGTTTTTTCGTGAAAGAGTAACAAACATCCATACATCCATACTTACAAACTTTCGCCTTTATAATATTAATAGGATTTCAATTATACACTTACTTACTTAAACACGTCGTACTAACTTGGGATTTAACTCACCCGTTTTACGTTTGAGTCGATTATACAATAGTATTAGTAATATAACTGACATAAATTGGTTGTCAAAGAATAAATTCAGAGAAATACTGTATAATTATTTTAATAATTAAGATAGATATAATGTAGTTGATATACTGTGTCTTTATAAATAGATTAAGATGTTGGATTGCATGCAGTATTTACCTATAATTGTCTTTGCATTTACTAAGTTGTTTTATAAGATTTACTTTTTCTGTATTCTATATAAATGTATAAGATGTTGGTAATTAAATTAATAAAATAAAATAAAACACTTAAGCAAACCAAGGGTCCTTCAAAAAAATTAAAACAGGTCCCGTTCTGGCTTAATCCGGCACTACTCATATTATTGTGACGGAATACTGTTACAACGTGATAAAACCTAGAAGCGGAATAATAACGGTTCAAAGTTCATACGATTACTTTATCTCGGAAACTACGTAACTTTGCTTATAATAAAAAGAGTATAATAACCAGTGGCCGGAATTATGTAGAGTTATTCATGTACTTACACTGATTTCATACAGCGAAAGAATAAAGTGGATATGCCTCAAATCCCGAGATTAATTTTAAAGAGCAGACAAAATCCCGTCATTTTTTAAATAAAAAGTTATTTACTTTTACTCAATTTAAACTACTGCACGCACGACGTTGCCAAACTTACATCAATGAAAGAAAGAAATAAAGAAAGAAGGAATAAAAAAATCCCGGGAAGGTCCACATTAATATCAACATTTCGATTTCGTAAGTACATAAATAACTCTACCTAATTCCGACCTCTGATAATAACTCTATATTTATTTTAATTAAAAAAGTCAAAACAAATATTTCGAAAAGAAAAACACGTTTTCTAGCCTTAAAATTAAATCAAAATGCCGCGAAAACGCTGTCCCTCATATTCATGACGCCATTGTGATATATATGTCGCAGCCAAGTGGTATAATCAGCCGACCAATTGGGCGGCTAGCCCTTTAATTGAATGGCGCTATCAATTCTATTAAAGGGGTAGCTGCCTAATACATATACACAAAACGGATGCAAAGTTTAAAATATGTCAATAAAATAACAGTTCCATATAATGAGCTAACAAGCAGCGCCATTTGATTTATAATTAATAGGCATATCTTTGACTAATCTGACAGCTATCGCCATAGTGACATCACACAATGGCGTCACGTTTCAAGTCACGTGTGACACAGAATAAAATCTCGGCTTTTAATTTTAAGATAATAAAATCATGCGATTTTAAGACTCAAAATCAGAATCTCTATGTTTATTTCGATGTTAATTTAAATTTTTGTGCAATTTCGTTACGGATTGATAAATAAATGACCAGATGGACCAAGCATTCATTTCAAAATCGAAGAGGCTAGTAGGCTATTAGATGGAACTATATACTTTGAAACATTTGCCAATCAAATTGTCTTTGGCAAAGTTATACAATAAAAGTCAATTGTGTTTTGAAAATTAATAAATAAATAATCATCTATTTTTAAGATATGTAATCCATAATGATCTAGCTATAAATAAAATCTATGGTAATTCTTAAGGGCTTATACTGGGTATGAGACGTTTCTAGGTACATCATTCGATACTCAGTGGTAGTTGAGCAAGAAACTTCTATTATTAATTATGAAATACTTACTGCACAAGGAGCGTCAATAAAAAGCAGCAATTATATAAGGGTTGTGTTAAAATTGAAATCCTCCCATAGGCACAGACTGATCGGTGCTAAACTGGTAATGGTCGGTTGTGGACGATACAGCTGGAGCCAACCGGCTGTCCTCTTCTTCCGAACCAAAGAAATTTTCAATTATCTCAAACGACTTCTGATAGATATCCAGATTTTGATGAGATTGTAAAAATTCTATTTTATCCAAACCTGAAATGTTAATTTATCTATATGAAATGTCACAATGCAACTTCATGAAATGAAGAGAAAAGGCTTGAAAAAATTCAGCAATTCACGATCATATCTCGCCGATAAACACCTCCATAACTCCTTAAGCCTTCCCCTATGTGAGTCATTTATAAACATAAAATTTAGTTTAACTCTTCATATAAAATTTAATTACCAAAACACTCCTCAATCAGAGCCGCATATGGATTGTCACGATGATCTGACTGTTGACCAGCTTTTAATATATTATCTAATCCGTTCAAGGCAACTTGAATTGTTTTAACATCTGTTAATGTTAATAAGTCACATAATGGCGGTATACAACCTTGCTCGACCAAGTACCTGAAGACATAAATAGGTAATGAAATAAATACTTTGTCTTACATCAATGTATATACGGCAGCATGTTAGGTTACCACATTTTGTTAATTTTCTGCAATGAATTTTGACCTTCAATGTATAAAAAAATCGAGTGGGGAATTTTAGTTTTGTATAAACTGACGTGCTGTTGATTGTATCTTTATGGTTTATGTAGATACGTTACCTAATTTGAACGTGAGTACCTCCGCTAGTGGCGTTCGTTATAGCCCAGGCAGCTTCTTTTCTTGTTTTAAATTCGGCTTGTTTCAAAATTTCAATTAATGTAGGAAATATATTTGCGTCGATCACTGCCTAGAATGTAAAAATCATTACATTAATATAAAAAAAAAATGTTGGTTTATTTATAATTATATGTAATGTATATATTAAAAGAAATAACTAAACTTATAAATATTATTAATAATAAATTATATACATACATTGAGTAAAGTATATATACATACATTGACCATACCATTAATATTAATCAAACCTTTTTTTTCTATTAAAATAACCAAATATTTTTCTAATAAAATTATTAACACCTAACAACCTTCAGAGAATACATTTTATCAATTGTTTATCATAGTATCAATTGTTCATTTCAGCCGGGATTCGCAGATTGATATATATGTACGTTGATATTTATTGTTAAGTATTGTGTCTCAGTTAGAAAATTAACTAACCTGATATGACGCTGGCAACATTGACCCGATGTAGCAATCTTACTAACCAGAAATTTCTGGTTTATATGAACGCGAAGTGGTAACTGTTAGTTTCTCAATTTTTTTTTAAATTTTATGCTTATGTTCACTTAATAAGGTTTATTATAGTAAGTCTAGTAAGTCTCTATACTATAGAGGAATACCTGTATAGAGTCTATACATTACTGGGAATGCTCACACGCATACTACTTTTTAATTATGTTATAATATAAAATATTTATATTTTAAACTCGATCTTTATTTAATTTAAAGGATATAATAGTAAGTAGGTATTCCTCTATAGTATAGAGGAATGCCTGTATAGAGTCTATACATTACTGGGAATGCTCACACGAATACTACTTTTTAATTATGTTATAATATAAAATATTTATTTATTAATATTATTTATATTTTATTAATATTTGACAGTGTGTCCGATCAAGAGAGCGAAACGGTGCAATTGCAATGTCGATTAGTCGCGATTTAATTAGAGAGTAAGGGGGCAGGCATTGGATGTTAAAATTTGGACAGCTGATATACGTTTACTCTTTGGATTTCATTCGATATTTTGGTATTTTCAATATTAATCACTGTTATATTTCCGATATATCGTTGCGCTGATACTATTTAATGATAGTAATAAGGAAAATACAAGATTTTTTTATTAAGGCAAAATACATGCTGTGAAATTCAATTAAACTTAATTTACAATAACAAATGATATATGTATTTCAATAACGTATTAATGTTTAAAATAGGCTAAGATAAAAATATAATGTAGTGAACTGTGACGTAAAAGTATTATACGCTGTGAGCATCACATGGTAGTGACAAGGACAGAAAACATCCCCACTTCAACACCACCATATATAAACGAATAATAACTTGACTAATTAATTTAAATAAAATTATGTGATATTAAGAGATCTACGTATTATTTTATTTGCTATCTTACTTGAATCTTTGGCAACTATATTGCATACTTTTTCATAATAGACACAACTTTTAAGCAGACGATAAATAGACGTATCATTGCATTATTGCACTCTCGTGAAATATTATAAAATGGAAAAATACACTTTCAGTCCAAAACAATATTAAAGCATTATATTTTAAACACATATGCGAGTAGAAATTAAAATTAAAATATTTAGAACACTGAACACTGTGTTTGTTTGTTTTAAATGGAATCTTCAGTCCATGACAGTTTTGAATAAGCACTCAATTACGGTCAAAATATCATGTATATACAGGAATATTTTTTTCCAGTGCAAAAATTTTTTTTGGTGATTCAGTATCAGTAATGGAATACTTTAACATAATTAGTTTAATTTTTTTTTTAAATATTTTTATCCCTATTGAAACGGTAGAATATGGACATATTTTTTTAAATAAAACTTCAATGAAAACGTCTTCTCTTGCGTTTACCACCGTGCATCCCCGCCGCGCCCGGAAGCCCCCCGCCACAGCCCCCGCCGCCCCGCCGGGACCGAGCGACGCGCGCGACAGTGGCGGCAGTGAGACTCATACGCACGCGCCGTTGTGACGTGCCCTCGCGTTCCCGCGCACAATTTAATGAAATGTGTACGTTTATGTCTGGACAGACGTGGACTTCATTTTCAACAAATATTAAAAAATACATGGTAAGTAATTGGTTAGGTATTTGTTTTGATTCAACATTATTGTAAATACGTAGTTGATACCAATTTTTTTAAATACGCCTTAACGCAGAAGTACCTTTGTAACTTCGGCATAAATTAATATTTTTTTCTAGGTAACGAATTTGTTTCTCTTTTATTTTTTTGCATTTTGATGGCCTTAACAATAAAAGTATGATGGGAAAATTGGAATTACTCTTAGAAATCACCTCAGATCATGGCATAAAATCTAGTTCGAATCTAACAAAATGAGCGGTCAGTGACCCGTGTAGATAGGTACCTACAAGTACATACCTACGGCGTCGAGCGAGCGCTCAGCTAACGCACGGCGCGCGGTGTCCATAAATTAAGTTTTAAAATCTCGATCTTTGATAAGCGATAACTTTATTTTTTAGGATTAGAAATCAAAATAAAAAATACGTGTTTGTTTAAATTACTTAAAGTTTATTTTCACAAAATCTTCGCAGTGGTTTTAAATTATTCCTGTATATATTTCTATATCCATTTCTAAATAAAGGACCTTTAAATTTTTAAAAGAAAATGTCCATGTATGTGTGGCGACTGATACAGAGCGACATCTAATTCATCGCACTAACATCGCCACAACAATCGATAGCGAGAAGACTAGCATTGTCACAGCCATCGATAGCAAGACGAACTGCAAGAAGTTTCAACACCAAAGAACGAGATGGCGCTGTACCAATACAAACATCATAAATTAATAACTACAAGACATTTAGAACAAAGAAACCTACATCACACAGAATAAGTTTCATTACCAATTAACATAAATAGAACGTCCAACCTACATCGGTTGGACCGCGGTCCCCGAGCTAACAACACCTAGCCCGGAGGGAGACAATTATCCTTTAGTCTCCCTGACCAGTTGTCTCCATCACCACAGTTGGAACCACACATTCAACCTTTGGGTTCCTAAAGTGGTGACCCCTGCAGAACATCAGCAAGCTTCAGCATCACAACGCAGCCATCACTCTTCATCAACAGCCTCTCACCCTTCATCATCAGCTTCTCACCCCTCATCAGCACAGCTACTTCAGCAGCAAGCCAGCCAACACCAAGGTCCATCACAGCAGCATCGACGACGCTTCCTGGATACTTGGTACCTCTCGACGGCATCACTCCGACCTGGTCCTCTCAGCCCACGACCGGACCTCAGTTCACACACAACTCACCGGCGTGGCAGCCCTGCACACCAGCAGCTTCGGTCCCGACGTCACAACCTGGCGCTTGCAAGCTCTGAAGCACTGACTGCATACCACCTACTATCAACATGGATCGACCTTCGGTCTAGGGAGAAAGTACTGTGGCGACTGATACAGAGCGACATCTAATCCATCGCACTAACATCGCCACAACAATCGATAGCGAGAAGACTAGCATTGTCACAGCCATCGATAGCAAGACGAACTGCAAGAAATTTCAACACCAAGGAACGAGATGGCGCTGTACCAATACAAACATCATAAATTAATAACTACAAGACATTTAGAACAAAGAAACCTACATCACACAGAATAAGTTTCATTACCAATTAACATAAATAGAACGTCCAACCTACATCGGTTGGACCGCGGTCCCCGGGCTAACAACACCTAGCTCGGAGGGAGACAATTATCCTTTAGTCTCCCTGGCCAGTTGTCTCCATCATCAAGTAGGAACCAACACCTTCAACCTTACGGTTCCTAAAGATGGATTAAATGAGTATAATAATATGTGATATTTAATAACTACCCACTAACCTGTATCTGATTAGCGTTGCCTGCTGTTATATTAGAGAGAGTCCAACAGGCCTCCTTCCTCAAGGTCTCTGTGTTAGATCGCAGCAATGCGTGCAGATTGGACAACGGATGACAGTTCAACACCGCCTGCGTCTGTGCATCGTTGCCCGTCACAATATTACCGACAGCTCGCAACGCGGCTGACACTACAGTCGACTTGCCGTGCCTTATATTTAAAATCAAAATTTTATTGTACTTTCTTAATATTTATTACGCACTTAATGTATTATACATTTAATTTATACACACAAAATATAAGTTATGTAACAATTTTCAACCTTACAATCAATGTGATAAAGTATAAAATTTACTACAGGTTTGGATGAACTTTTCCAGTTGGAAAAGCTACACAGAAAAATGTAAGAAAACATTTTTCTGTGTAGCTTTTTTTGTGTAACTAGCTGACCCGACAGACTTCGTCCTGTCAAAATGATTTGTAATGTGGCAGTTTTTTTGCCTACGTATTTAAAAAAATTCTCCTGAACAGAACCGTCACCCTGGTGATAGGGCGTTGTGAATAAAAAATAATTAAATAAAACATATATAAGGATTTAAAAGTAAGTAATCGCTTTATTGTTAATCATGTGAATCATAATTATTATTGCAATGTATTAATAGTAATAGTATTAAATATAGAAAAAAGAGATTTTTATGATCATAAAAACACATTACACACAACAGCATTATAAAAGTAAACTATTCGAATTAAAAAAATATATAAACATTCTCAAGGAAAAATGCTGGAAGAATCCATCTACCTGTACCCCGGAATGGGACTCGAACCCATTCGCGATCCAGGGACTGCTCTAACCAATGAGCTATCTAGGACCCAACAGCTTTGCTACTACAGAGCGTATTTTCATCAATGTTGCGGCAATACATGTAATGACGTGGAAACTGATGCATTTTATCTCGCGTGCCGAAACTAATACAAAAGAAACGCGAGTTTCGGAACGCGACATTAAACTCCTCCAACTATGTATTCTGTGCTCCAACGCACACACGCACATTGTTTTGTGATAGATATGATCTTTGACGTTAGGAACACACCTACATTGCTTAGACAACAGTGAGTGCTTGTAATTTAATATGAACTTTATACCATAGCAATAAAGCTCAAATTGACTACGTTTTAGTTACAAATCATTTGTATGGGAAAAAGAAAAGGGCTATTTTTAGGGTTTTTCCAGCAATAATTCTAATTTTTCTCGCCGTAAAAACCATCCTTGAACTTCAACGAACATTTTAAAAAAAGATTTGGCCAAATTGGTCGAGGCGTTGTTGAGTTATGCGCTTACCAACACATTTTGCGATTCATTTTTATATATATATATAGATAGATAGATAGATGTGCGTCAGTCCAACAACGCCACAATCTTGGATTTTGAAATGAATTCTTCACTTGACTGTCAAAATACGCAGTTTTAGGGATAAACGAATGCCTTTGTGGGTAGAACTGACGTCAGGCCATTAATACCATAACTAGAATCCTGTGGTTAAGCTGTCCAAGGTTTTTGAAATTTTCTATAGCCGCAGAATTCTAGCCTAACGTTTACTCTTTTATTAGTCACAAAGATAAGGAAAAATTAATGGCTAAATATTTTCCATTGATCAACAACATAACGAGATAACGCCTCCCATACTAAAACAATACTCAAATACGGCACCAATCCATAGACCATACACTGCGATAATCAAGGAACACAATACCACATAGTATATTCTGTGCTAATACTCCAGGTTTTCGATTATTAGGTCCTTACATATGAAATTGACGTTCGTCGTACTGGCCACTTTAATCATAACTTTCTCCTCCTTGGTTGGGAATTCCAAACTCAAAATTTATACAGTCATTTACACATGTAATTGTGTTTCGTTAGGCGGGATTTATTTGTTTTTTCTTCTGTTTATCCTATTTACGTCACCCAGTAAAAAAAAAGGAAAACTTGAGATATCGTCTTATTTACGAGTACGAGTTCCACCGTGGTGCCAGTGCTGCGGAAACGGCTCGAAGGGTTAATGATGTGTGAGGCGGTTGTGTTGCAAAAGAAAACACTGTGCGTTTTTGGTTCCAACTTTTCGTTCTGGAAATTCCGACCTGCAGAACAAGCCCCGTGGACGGCCGAAGACCCAAGTTAATAATGAAGAATTGAAGCGTGGAAGCGGATCCAACGCAAACCACGTCTGAGTTAGCTGCAGGCTGCAGTGTTAGTGATAAAACTGTTTTAATCCACTTGAATCAAATTGGAAAGATTAAAAAGCTTGAGAGGTGTCTCATGAATTAAGTGAAGAAAACCGGCAACCGCGCTTAGACAGCTGCGTTACATTCGAATCATTACCTGTGATGGAAAGTGGATTTTCTACGATAATTGGAAGCGCCCATCACAATGGTTGGACCCTGGCATGCCAGTCAAATCCTGCCCCAAGCGAAAATTAACCCCAAAAAGTTACTTGTAAGCGTTTGGTGGACTAGTGCCGGTGTCGTTCATTACAGTTTTCTCAAATCTGGCCAGACGATTACGGCAGACGTCTATTGTCAGCAATTGCGAACCATGCTGGAAATACTAGCTGTTAAACAACCGAGGCTGGTCAAACGCTCTATGTAGCTGCTACTTCACGACAACGCTAGACCACACACTGCACAACAGACGACTACCAAAGTAGAAGAGCTTCAATTGGAATGTCTAAGATATCCACCGTACTCCCCGGACCTTGCTTCAACAGATTACCATTTTTTTCGAAATTTGGGTAACTTCTTGCAAGGGAAAAAATTCAACTCCTAGGGGAAGTGCGAATCGCCTCCACAGATTTTATGGATTCCAATCCGAATGGTTTTTTTTATTAAGGGGATCGATGAACTACCTATGAGATGGCAATAGTACATAGATAACAGTGGTTTATACTTTGATGAAATAAATATATTAAAAAATATTCGACTTTTTGTTCCTCCCATATCAAACACCAATTTCATATGTAAGGAACCAATATTATTAAAATTTTCGTTAAAAAAAATGTAATAGTACACTACTCCATGTATATGCTGTCTTAGAACACCGAATATTTGACTTTCTATATTTGAATGACTGTCATGTTGGCGCGTGGTTTGGGTCAGAAACAAAACTCTGTTATTTTATTGAAAATACTTTGATTATTAATTATAGACATTGTAAAATTATCACATTAACAACCCGTAAATATGATATTCCAACAGATACATTTTTATTCCGATAGTAATATTTGCAGTTTTAATACGCATTGTGACGTCGTAATAGGTCCGAATGTTGGCGCCGTCGCAAATAAACTAAATCAAAATAAGATCCCACTTTGAAGTGAGTCTTTATATCTTCGGCCATCTTTGAGACTGACCAGACATCTTTTTGTATTGTTGATCAAAGATATTTCCAGAGATAATTTAGAAAATTCAAAAGAGTAGAAAAAGGATGCCAGAAAAATATTTTTTATTGTATGATTAGTGAAAAAATTACACTTACATAAGTAATTCAACAAGTCTTCTACAGACACCAGCATCAATCACAGCTTGTATCTTCTCATTTGGTCCATCAGATAGATAGGAGAGCGCCCAACAGGCATCACTCAACACATCAGCATCAGTATCATGTAATAACCGGGCTAAAACTGGAATACCTGAACGAAACAAGAATAATAATAATATTAAAACAATAGTTAAAAATACATATTTCACTTCTTTTCAACCTTAAATTTATTTTTAATTTTTCAAATGTATAGTCCAGAGATCACAATGTTTATTCTTACTCTACTCTTCACAGAAATCATTTTGTTTGCAAATATGAGCATTTGTGACACATTCTAGATTATATAACTCATGTCTGATAAATTTATGCAGTTATGACAATACTTTGGTCAGTAGGTATCGATTTATTTGTGTGAATGTTGGAAAATTAATATTTTATAATTGATCAAATAATTATTTTATCATGAATTAATAACACAAGGCCAAACTAAACACTCATACAGATAATTGAATAACATTAGTACAAAAATACATACATCTATTGCTAAAACTTGCCTGGGGCAACTGATTCAAAATTTGTGGGCGGATTCTTCCCTCTACACAAGTTTGACAATGTCCACACCGCATTTCTTGTCATGGATAACCTTGTATATTTATTTAAAATCCTGAAACCAATAAAATTATTTAATACTAGACATCCACTAGCAATTACTTTCAGATAAAATTCTCTTTCTGGATTATCTTTTAGTGGTTTTACCTTTGATAAAAATAAAAACGGTAAATACGTCATAAGCGCTTTGTTAATGGAAGTTCTAAATTAGGTGCATATGTCATATTCAATGGCAGATATGCAGTCTCTTCGCGTAATGACTGGTTTATCCCAGGTTTGACTAAAGCCTTCGAGCTATCGAAATAAAATCCAATTTCGGCCTTTGATTAAAGTATTTTAGCCAAACGTCGAACACAGTCAAACGTCGAAGTAAAATAATATGTTTTGCTCCTTGCCTAGTCCATCCTAGAAGCGCCTGGCAGACTTGGTCAAACGTAGACTAGTACGTTCAAACAAGTTTATATTTGCTGTTTTCGTGCAAGCAAGTTTATGCTTTCTCCGGAAATTATTTTATGATTTTATATTCCAACTTTAAGCGTGCGGGTGTGTAAGATTAAAGTTTATAAATTAGTGAATCAAATAGTGTTGTTACTGAAAAAGTGGATGGTGAAGGTTAAAAAGTGAAGTTTACGGATAAAATTAATAATTTAAATAAAGATAAGTGTTCATTTCATACTTATAAAAAATAAATATATGTATGAACAAATTATCTGTGAGATAGAATCAGCTAAAGTAGATAAAAAGAAAACGTCTCTGAAGTATCGCTGTCTCAAACGCTACGATATTTTGAATTTTGGAGACGAAATAATTGATTAAGTCAATTAAGATACAAAAATATACAATACTACGTTACAGACGACGAGTTATTCGACATGATTGAACGTGCTAATCTGGAATGTGGACATGGTAGTAGAGACCTCACAATGAAAGCCTTGAAGAAAAAGTATGCTATTGTTACAAAAGAGTACGTAAACTATTACTTGGATTTATGCGTGCCACAAGAAAAACAGTCGCCCTAAAAAGAATCTAGTCTTTACACCGTTATTATTTAAAGAAATTGACGCACGGGGATAAGTGGATGTTATAGATATGCAAACATTTCCCGATTGCAATTACAAATATATTTTTCAATGCAATTGCTCATAAAGCGCAATTTTTTTTAATCCATTGTAAACACCGAAAGTGGGTCTTACACACGTGTTAAATAAAAATGTACTGAAATCCTTTACTGCACACGTGCTTAAAAGTATTTTTTTTTTTTGCCGAGCACCAAAGAAATAAAAAAAAAATTGATGAAAATATGTCAAACTTTAGAGGCAAGAATTTTTCTAGGAGCCTAGAACGAATATTTTCAAATAAAAATGTATAACACGAAAACATGTTCAAATATCACGTTTAATTTTAACAAATAATTTTTACCTTTAATACATACTTAGTTTTATTAACCTATATATTTGTTTTATTTCCTAGCAAAAATTTAATGCTTTTTGCTAGGAAATAAAACAAACAGTTGTAAGAAACTTGAGCGTAAAAGGTTATTGTGACATAACGTATCAGACAGGGGTTTCTCTACGGGCTCTAAAATTCTTGACTTTCACCTTGACACCCTGGCGGCAGAAATGGAACGAAGTGACACCTTCATACGAAACCCCCCACCATACCATTACACTAGCCGGATGATGAATACGCGAGACATTCCATGCATATGCTGGCAGAACTTTATTGTTTTGTCGGTTGAACTTATCTTCGACAGTAAAAATTTTTTCGTCGGTAAAGAATATCTTCTTGGCTGCAATGGACAACGTTCGCGTCGGAACTTACGAAGACGATCGTTTTAAAAAGTTAACTTTTTTACGGCTTTAGGCCTTAAGATCATATTTCAGTATTCTGTTCCCTGAAACGCGCGAAACATTAGTCTATAGAGCGAGTTTCTTATAAGTGCGACATTGATTTCGGCGATGTCACTCTCAGATGATTTTGATGTTCGCAGGCGTTCTCACAGAACGTGACCACTCCTTCGGTGATCTTGCAGAGAACTTGTCTCTTTTTACCGGTGTATTCTGTAATAGATGAAGTTACAGCTTACAGGAAAACTTTTCAGCTCGCGGAAAATCTGCATCGGTTTTTTTCCCGCCTTAAATAGCGAAATGATAGTTGCATGTAATTGTTTTGTTCCCTCCAGCACGAGAAAATATAAATAAATGAATTTGCGATACAAATAAACTAAAAGTTATAGCATTTCAAATTAAAAATCGGTGAAAGTAACAGCCGATAACATTTTATTAAATTTTTCAGTAAAAAGGTTGTCACAAAACTTATGAACACACGAGCGAAGTATAAATGCGAAATACTGCCCCCCCCCCCCCCCGTGGGGTGATGCCCTCCTAGTAGATAGTCTCAAAGACGATCGTCATCTCGGCTTGAGGTCCTCAGGATCTCGCCGTCCCTTAGTCCGGTTACACTGTAAAGGCCATCTGAGGCCAACAGTAACACACTTTCATAAAAAAAAAAAAAAAAAAGAAATACTGTTAAGGCGAGGATTAACAAAAATGGGCATTTTCCAGGAATAATATCTCCAAAACGGTTGGTTCAAAAATTATGAAAAAAATATATATGAATCATCAACTCTTTATCTCCATAAAGAGCGTTTAAAACGATTCTATCTTTAAAAATTCTATATTTAATGAATTAAAAACGGAACGCTGTCGTTAAACTTCCAGGAATAATATCTAATAAACGGCTACGAATTTTGGAAATCTTTAAACACTAATAGAAAGGTAATCAGAAGTACTGTAAAAAGAGCGTTGCTCATGTAAATCAGTTAACATTCGCTGAACAAACTATCGATTCTATCGAAATTTCTATCGATATATTGCGGAGGGGCTGTGTGCGGGCGCGCGCGGCAGTCTTCCGCTGGCATTCCGACGAGTAGCTTGTGTCGCTCGTTGCTCCAAAATACTATATGCGATCGACACGAATTTACCATAGTGTACGTGTAATGTGTTTTGATATTTATCCTTGAATTTGTAGTGTTTATTTTTTTTGTTTTTGCGCTCGGACGCTTTTGTGAATGTTATTATTGTGAATATTTTGTAAATAACTTTAGATATAAGTTTGTAATATAATAAACATATATATTATTGTTGTACGTAAAAATGGTACGTCCAACATTGAAAAGAAATAAATGAGCTGCGAAAGCTATAAAAATGAATTCTACCATGTAAGTTTCACACTTTTTTTTCATTATGTATGTAGTATGTACAAAAACCATCTAGAGTTTTTGGAGCCTAATAAAACTGTATTTAAGGATCATTGGGAAAAAAATGCATTAGCATCTATGACTGCAGCGGCTCAAAAGGAAGGAGAAATGGCAATAAAAGAAGGACGCGTTGATAAAAACGGCGTACCTATTATCGATGTTATACTAGATGGATGTTGGTCAAAGAGAACATACAAAAAAAAATATTCGGCCTTATCTGGAGCTGCTGCTATTATTGGTAGAAAAACAGGAGAGGTTCTATTTTTGGGTGTAAAGAATAAATATTGTTGTATATTTGAACGAGCGCAGAAAACAAATAAAGAACCAAAGGAGCACAAGTGCTACAAGAATTTTAAAGGACCATCAACTGCCATGGAGTCTGAAATCCTTGTAGAAGGTTTTAAATGCTCTATAGAGATGCATAATTTAATATACGGCAGAATGATATCAGACGGAGACTCAAGCACTTATTCCAAACTCCTTAAAAGTCGTCCATACTCTCACATCACTATTGAAAAAATTGAATGCAGGAACCACCTTTTACGTAATTTATGTAATAAATTTATGTAATAAACTTCTTAAATTTCGGAAAATTGTAATCCAAAAAAGAATTTTAACTTTGAGAAAGACAATCAGAAAAATGATTTCCACTTATACAGCTGCAACAGCATCAGAACGAAAAAATAACATAGAAATATTGCATAATGATTTACTTTTGGCTCATTTACATGCTTTCGAAAATCATAATAGGTGCAAAACATATTTTTGTGATTTGATGATTTTGAATGATTTTTATGTGAGCACACTTTGGACAAAAATTTGCCTCTTAATGTCAACTTTGGCCTCTCACTCTCCTAGTTTAATCCATGACATCGATTCAAATACTGTTGAGAGATTCAATAGTATAATAGCCAAACTCGTAGGAGGCAATCTTTTGGGAGAATACGATGAAGCCAAAACTAGTGCAATTTTATACCGAGTGCTTACTTCCCGAATTAGTAGACCCCAGATTTCCTCGACCCCAGATTCCATCTTTTAAAATTATTTTAGTTTTTAATGGAAAATTTTCTCCGCACCAGATTGCAAACAAACATTTCTGTTTGTTTGTAATATTTAGTTGACCCTGTACTTGGTAGTACCAATTTTGGGTTCTATTCATAGACAAGTTCATTGTTGTAATTAATTTTATAAAATGGTAATTTCTTATTTTTAACAACATCTCTTATATCTTTATTGTAAATAGTAATTGGACACTTTAGTTACTTTAGTTCGAACCGCGGGATCGCGAGGCGCCGCGCGTTGCGTCGCACATAACTCCGCCCACATAGCAAGGCCATTGAACAATATGTTCCTCTCAATATGAATAGGTATCTTTAAAAGTAAACAAGTACGTTGCCTCTCATCTGGTAGACGTCAGTTCTATCCCCGACACGTACCAATGAATTAAAATTTTCGAATACATATGTACGTATATTCGACGCTCTTACGGTGAAGATAAACATCGTGAGGAAACCTGCACATACGTGCGAAGAAATTTTTTTCCTGGAATTTAATTGTTTTTTCCCCGGAATTTAACTAACGAAAAGCTCATGTTGGAATTGAAACACTGCCAGATTCCATAAAAAAGGTTCTTCGGACAGAGGAATAGTTAGAAAACGCTATCAAATCAACCGATGAGAAGCAAATTGATACGTCAAAAGATACTCTTAAGCGGCAACTCTCTCATCAAACTCAATTTTCTGGAATTTTAGATTTACTTAATTATTAATTTCAATAATCTTTATGATCTCTGTACATCTTCACCGATTTGAGTGATAGAGAATGCCTTTTTGGCATTAAGTCCGCCTTTTGCTATCTTTTTATAGGCATAAAGTTTAAATAAATAATAATGATAAGATAAGAAATGGAACTATATATATATTTCAATACCTGGACCGTCATCGTCAAAAGTAACTTCAGATGTGATTTCAATACCTGGGTCGTCATGGTCAAAACTGACTTCAGATATGATTTCAATACCTGGACCGACATCGTTAAAAGTAACTTCACATGTGTTGTATTTGTAGGCAAATACAACAAACCTCATCTGCCTCAGGCGCATATATGTGCATAATTTGTTACCAGGTCGTGCATGTTATGTGCGCAGATAGCACACTTGGTGCAGACTATGAAGATTTCAGAAGTAAAATAACATGCATGAGTTGTACACAGACGGAAAATAGAAAAATAAATAAAGAAAAGACAATTGAAGGTCTTGGAGCACAGGCTAACGCCATGAAACAATTATCTGAACAAACATTCTCGCCAATCACGATTGGAAAAACTGTAACTATTATTTTTCCTAGTTTCGACAGAGCTAAAGGAGACCCTCGAAATGTTTTAGGTATAACACCAGATAAAACAGATGATGGTTTATACAGAGTAGGAACGAAGCACGGAACGTTAAAACAACTTTTTTCGTTATAAATATTTTCATATATTATTAGAATTGTCTTAATATCAAGGATGTGCCCAACGTTAAACTACCTATATTTAATGGATCTAGACTGCGCGGCATGTTGCTAAGCGCATACTTGTAATTGTCAGGAGTTTCTGTCCTCGCTCTTCTGATTACCATCCACGAGAGTTCCGGTCTCGCTCACGCTATAGTTGTAACTCATAGTTATAACTATATTTCTGGGAAATACATGGACTACAAATTCAGTTGACATTACATGCATCAAAAACACTCTTTGTTCCAAATGGTTAAGTACTGACTGCTTGTGCACTATTATAAATTGAAATATAAAACCCATTTCCTTAGAGCTGATTTTGTAAACTGGTGCAATTCTATGTGTACTTTTTAATTGTAGTTAAGATATAGGGCACTTTTATTACAGTATAAAGTTTATTTTGGATAATGAAATCTTTACAGGCGAAAGCACAAGAAAAATGTCTAGTAGCGGTAATATAAAAGTTTCAGATCTTGGAAAATTTCAACACTAACTTCGAAGACTTCCAAGCAATACTCGAAATTTGAAATGAAGTTTTAATTGTGATGTTTTGTATTAAGCCAAGTTACGCTCGAAATTACTGCAATTGCTTAATTAAAAAACTAAAACTATAGTACAAACGTGACCAACTATCAGAAGCTCAAATAGATCCCAAGAAACTATGGAAGACCATAAATAATATAACAAACAGAAACATCAAAAAGGAATTAATAAATACAGTAAATAATTACTTTTCCAACGTGGGTAAGCTCCTTGCAGAAAGTATTATACAGTCATCTACGATACGCGGCGATTTAGAGACAGTGGATCCCATGGGACAACGAACTTCTTTCGTATTACTAGACTCTGATTTTTTCGAGATTCGAGATGTATTAATGAGTCTAAAACTAAATAGTGCTCCAAGATATGACAATATCACAACCAAATTTTTAAAAATTGCACCTGAGTTTACTGTTCCTATTATAACCTATATAACTAATTTATGCTTCCAGCAAGGAGTTTTTCCTAGAGCGTTAAAAAAAGCTATTATCACTTCGGTGTGTTATACAAGAGTGGAGACAGAAATAATCCTTGAAATTATAGACCTACATATCGAAAGTTTAAAAAAACTTATGAATATGAGACTAGTGAAATATCTTTCCAAATTCAAAATTCTATCTACATCGAAATTTGAATTCCGCAAAGGCCTTTCAACTAAAGATGCTATATACATGCTCTTACCCCAGTTGTCATCAATAAAGTAGATAAGGGAGAAAAATGTTTGGTCGTTTTCCTTGATATAAAAAAAGCATTTGATACGGTTCTTATACACAGGCTTGAAAAAATAGGATTAAAAGATCGAGCGCTTTATATATTCACTGATTATCGTCATGACCGAAAACAAAAGGTAAAAATTGGTGAATTTGTTAGTTCTGAAGCGGAGGTGTCCTATGGGGTCACCCAGAGTAGTGTTTTGAGTCCAACACTGTTTTGGTGTACATTAATAGCCTATTACAGACACAAATCCAAGAGGGCCATTTCTTCTCGTATGCAGACGATACGGCAGTTATTTTCACTGGAAAGACTTGGAACGATGTACATAAAGCCACTGAGAAAGGATTGACTCAAGTAGCTGCCTGACTTGACTTTAACCTGTTGTCTATTAATATTCACAAAACTAAAAACGTTTGCTTCTCAATGTATAAATTCACTCAACCCTCATCTAAATTTCAAATCAAGATACACAAATGCGCAAATTCTTCTTTAATACAATGCTCTTGTACTCCCATAACCAAAGTGGAGTCAACAAAATATCTAGGCATAATAATAGATCAACGCATTTCTTGGCACGAACATATTGAACTCATTATCAATAGGGTAGGGTAAATAATATGGATACTTATTTAAGAAATTGAGACATATTGCAAACAAAAATCTTTTGCGACGAATTTATTTTTCCTTGGCCCAGTCTGTGATTGCGTACTGTCTTCCCATTTGGGGAGGAGCTACGAAGACAAAATTCATAGAATTAGAACGAGTTCAAAAATCACTACTAAAATTATGCTCTTCAAGCTATACAGATTCTCAACGAATTGTCTCTAAATAAGTACTAATCTCCTAACTGTAAGACGATATATGCTCTCTATATTCCAAAAAGCACAAATCGCTGCGTTATGATCACAGACTTAGTAATAAAAGAAGGAGATACAAAATTGCTGATGTATACATGCACGCCTAAACGCACATCCAATCACGAACACACCCACTCACGTACTAACACACGCATAAAAAACACACGCACATAAGAGAGAGAAAGATTTGCACACTTTTATATTAAAATAGAAATATTGTATTAATTATTTTATTTTTATTATGCGATTTTTTTTGTAATGATATAAAAACGTAACTTGTAAATTTATCTAAAATGAAATGTTAGTACAATTTTTAAGATATGGAAGAGCGGAGCATCCTACTGCAAGCACTTTTTTGCTCAAATGGACGTTCCATATACTGTCAAGTTATGTACTATTCGGTTATCACAATAAACATTTTTTTTTTTTTTTTTATTATTTTTACTATATAAACTCCATTTGATATGGTTTGAAACTGTGATTTGCTAAAATTAAAGTACTCACTCTATTAGCGGTGGCAATACACCAGCAGCCAGCACTGTATCCCTGCAACGCGGCGAGTCACCCGCGACGTTGCCGAGTGCCCACACAGCTTGCTCGCGGACATCGTCATTAGCCCCACTCGCTACTAACCCCACTAACACACCCACCGCACCACACTCTACCACTACTTGTGTCTGCTCTGAAGAACCTGACGCAATATTTGTCAACGCCCATGCTGCTTCAAACTAAACAATTGAAACATATGACGTAATTTTTTGCAAGCCACTCGTAGAGTTATATGTCATATCAGACTACAAAATTAATTATACAGTGAACCCGCGGTGATCCGACAAACGTTTTGGAAGACGATATCGGATTATAGAACATAAGATTGGTATAGTTCCACTATACATATACAATTAATCTATGAAATTATTTTGAAACAAATCTACAAACATATTTACAAAAAAAATATCTAAACCAAGTGTTTCACCGGAATTGTACAGATTTTCCGATTTTCTTTATGTACACACTTAAAGGCTTAACGTCAGATTAGCACATAAATGTCAAATTTCCCCATTAGGGGACCGGATAACTTTCTAAAAACTGTTTTAAGTGCTTATTCCCATAAAAAAAAAAAAACTATTTTATGTAAAAAAAACCTCATTATATACACAATTGTGAATTGTGTTTAAAATTCATCGGCGGCATAAACGGCGACTCGGTGGATGTTACGTCATTTGTGGGGGTAAACATAAAAGGATTTTTCAATGCAGGTGCTCATAAAACGCTATTTTTTTTTAATCCATTTTAAACACCGAAAGTGAATCTTTAAACACGTGTTAAATAAAAATGTACTGAAATCCTTTACTGCACACGTGCTTAAAAGTATTTTTTTTTCTGGCCGAGCACCAAAGAAATTAAAAAAAAATTGATGAAAATATGTCAAACTTTAGAGGCAAACGAATTTCAAGGAGCCTAGAACGAATATTTTCAAATAAAAATGTATGACACGAAAACATGCTCAAATATCACGTTTATTTTAACAAATATTTTTTACCTTTAATACATACTCAGTTTAATAACCTATATATTTGTTTTATTTCCTCGCAAAAAGCATTGAAAAATGTTGTAAGAAACCATAGCGTAAAAGGGTTTTCGAGTATGACACGAAAACATGTTCAAACATCACGTTTAATTTTAAACAAATAATTTTTACTTTTAATACACCTTAGTTTTATTAACCTATATATTTGTTTTACTTCCTCGCAAAAAGCATTGAAAAATGTTGTAAGAAACTAGAGCATAAAAGGTTTTTCGAATTCGTGCCAATGAAAACAATCACTACGCTCATGTTTTCAATTTGGCCCTTATTCGTAAAAGCTTACTTTCCGCACTCGTATCTTAAATAACTATTATGTTTTATGATATTTTGTAAACTATTAAAAATCCTGTAACACATTGGAATTATTTTGCACTTTGAATGTTTCCTACGATTTTCGTATATAGTTTTATGCCAAATTTACCCACAAATGACAAACTAGTGCTCCGATTGGCGTCACATTTGACAAGAAACAGAGACTACAAATATTGTAAAATATTGTTTGTTTATTGATTTAAAAATACAATTAATTATTATTTAACAAAAAATTCGAAGAATGATCTTTTTACCCTATTGATTTTTATACCTTCAATGTATCGTAGATTTAAAATCAAATGGAGAAATTTATCAGTTTTGTATAATCTAATGTGCTGTTGACTGTACAAGCATCAGTGATAGGCGGTGTCCGATTACAGGGGATGCCGAAGTAGACAGGGTCTGAATAACAGCCGGTCCACTGTATATAGAAGAAACTAGCCCAAGCTAAATACGTATATACGAAAGCACAGACAACATCATTCAACACAAAATTTTTTGTAAACAACAGATTATTGTGTAAACGGCGCTGTACATGGCTGTTTAGTCGGTTATCATATCGACGTTATCGGTTACCATATATAAATTTCAAAATGTTTTTATATAAATTTAAATTTCAAAATGTTTTTAACTCTGGCGAATATTTCGGATTTTGGGGGTTACTGCGTTTCCGCTTTTTTACGTCGATATATATAAAATTATCATTTACAAAAACTGTGCTGCGCTGAACCGTGTTGCCTGCTACTAGGGTTGCCAATCTGCTACACACAGGTACACGATTCTGTCCCTTGTACACTTTTAAATATCTTTTAGGTAATTTAAATGTAATTGTGTGCCATAATTGATTAAATAAAATTTTATCTATCTATATTTTTTCAACAGTATGTAGTACGCAAAAACGAAGTATAGTACAATACTATATAATAAAGTATGGTAGGCAACCCTACCTGCTTATGCTTAACATTATGCTCTTCCGATATCTTCATTCATATGATACAGAAATATGTTAATAGCAATAAGAAGTTTCTAAGAAATCAAAAGTAATTAAGTTTAGATATATATAATATTTACTTTTTCAATTTATAATTAAAGTTGAAATATATTATTAATCATCCAAGTGTTTGTTACCTGTAATGTGGGATTGGAACTGTTGGTCAGAAATTCAACAAATTTAGGCACAATTCCAGTCCTTATAACCTCATCAATGGGAGGATTGGGCTCTCTACTGAGAAGTTTTCGGAACTTTTGTGTAGCCATAACTTGTTCTTGAGGATTATCTCCATAAATTGCAGCCACCATGGCTGGAGTAATATCATCAGTAGATGATATATTAATATCATCCTGAAAATTCAAATCCAAAAGCTCAATCAATGATATAACAAATAATTAAATCAAAGGTACATAAGTACTGACAGTCTTCGGCTTTACGTCATGTTCGGTACCAGAGAAGAGTGACGTAAAACGAAACAACATAAAACAACACATTTTTCCATACAATCACAGAGAATAATTGACCTACAAATGAAAAAAATATGATAAAACAAGTCAAACACTTTTATTAATAAAGAGAAGCTTTATATATTATAGAGGTAATTAAGCTTTATATATTATAGATAGATAGATAAATAACATTCTTTTATACAATACAGACACAAAAATAAAACATTACTAATTTGTTTTGTTTCTTTTGTTTTTCAGTTTTTCTGCATTGCCACAATGCATAAGGTAGCATGTCCACTACAACACGAATTTCACTATATATTCTTTCTGTAATTGCCACAATGCGTTGCAAGTGTTTTCATTAGAGCCATAACAAGAATTTCATGATGTAGATGTTTTATTGTGACCACAATGCAAGTTCAATTAGCAGTTTCGGTCTTAGAGCTTAACTTAAAACATCTAATCACATCACGAATCCTCCGTGAACATGCTGCCACCCATAATGTAAAACGAATCTTCGTTAAAACGAGGAATAGTGTCAAATGCCGTAAAACGAGGACTGTCTGTACTCTATTTAAACCTTGTTTGTAATGGATCCATACTGCTCTAGATGCTCTAATATTTCATGAATAGTAATTATTTAAGTGGTGAAACCCAAAAATAATAAAATAGGACAAATATTAAAACTAAAATAATGTTGTTTAATTGCTGTCAAAAAATATAATATAGTAAGAATTCTGTCTGTGTTTTCAGTTATGAAAATAAGTAAGACACAAGCTTGTTATAATATACAGGAGTATAATCACATGTCTTAAATAAAATAAATCTAGATTAGGTAAATTTTAGTCAATTTTGAAGAGTATTACAACAGAATTGGTCCTAGTATGTTACAAATTACACAAAAAATATCAGAGCTGATATTTTGAAAATACTTAATTTATACCTGCAATGCAATATCTGGTGCATTTGGGGCAGGAAGGTTAACATTTCGTCTTTTAAACAACTGCTGTTCCCTTTTCTGTTTACGAAGTTGGACACCTTCTTCTTCACGACGACGTCTAAGTTCATCTGCACTCAAACCAACATTCTTATATCGATGTTTGTGACCACCAGACATCTAAACAACAGTTACACCCAACAGTTAAATAATCTGCTAATACCAACACAACACAGATACTTTTAATGCCACAGTATACACTACAATATAAAGTATTATTTTTGCCTCTTGATTAGTATCTAATGATTGTGTGATATATAAACTGATTATTATTATTATCTTAGGTGTAGCTATAGAGTGGTATAAATTGGTACACAATTGTTAATGTCATATCAAAATTTAAAATTAGTTCTGTCTTAACTGATCAGTTACTTATCACTAATTGAAATAAAAACAAAAAAACAAGTATTTCTTATAAATTTTGCAATGACAAAGATATATTATTTTATATAATAAGTATACTAATACAACCTTCTTTCATCATTATAAAATATCAAAATCAATATTAGTTCAGCAAATTCACGTGTATTTCTTGAACATAATAAACTATATAATAACCAAAGGCTTACAATTAGAAATTTACGAAAATAAACATGAAAAAGAATTGATGACAAAATTATGAAAACAACAAACGTATACAAATGAATAAAATTTTATTTGTAAAACTCAAGGATTCGTTAGAACGGACTCAAATAAATCTTTTGCAGTATGTTTACGATACTTTTACAGTATACATACGATTATAAGAAAACAGAGCGTTGAAATTAAAGAAACACCGCAATATTAATAATATCAGTCCACCATCGATTAATTACAAAATCTTAATAATTTTGCAACGACAATCCCTCAATCACGTCACATAAAAATCAAATGTGATTAGTTTTTTTTTTCATAGAGCTGTGTGTCCGCTTTTAGGTTTTGATGTCGACTTAAAAAAATTTAAATGTGGGATTGTGACAGAGATCAGTAAATAATATAAAACTTATTTTATATTTAACTAGCTGATTTGGTAAACTCACCGTACCGCCACATTTAATTTCCCAAGTCGCGACTGCGGATTTTTTAAATAAATTTTAATAAATGTAAAGCAATCATAGAGTATCTTTTATCATAGATACAGAGCTTGTCCTGGCAACACAGACAAGTAAGAACTCAGATGCCAGAATAAATAAAAAAAAGAACTCAAATGGTATACTTTTTTTTTAAGGTTTTACCGGCCCTGGCTTCTATGGCCTTCAGCCGTGTCTTTATGTTGAAATAATTTATATATTTACAAGCGTTTCCTTTATATATCTGTATAAGTATCTATATATTTCTGGGATCTGCAATAAATCTTGTAATTGGCGGGGTACATCTTTGACAGTTTTTTCTATATTTGTTGCTAATATTAGGTAAATTGATGGTGCTATAATATTCTCTATCAACAGCTCTAAAAGGTATATACCAAGGTATTTTAGGTATGGTCTTCTGTATACCTCCGTACCATCTTCCTTTTTCGCACTTATCCAATATCCAAAATTCTTCCCATAACTCCATTACTTTACCTCTAATATAAGATTGGCAATCGCTTAGATGAAGTTCATAACTTAAATCTAATGTACAGAGTTCACTATGAGTAGCTTTATCAATAATTTCATTCCCTTGATATGAGAAAGAACCCAAGTAAAAGTAACATTTTTTCCAATCATATTTAAGTGATATTTAATGTGTTGTATTAAATAATTATCCTTATATCGCCTATTTACATTTTCTAATTTAGTAAGTGCACTAAGAGAATCTGTGACAATCATAAACTTAGATAAAGTTTTATCTACATATTTATTTTGAATATAAATTAAAGCTTTGAGAATAGCATAATATTCAGCAGAAAATACACTGCTTTTATTATCAATTTCATAAGTTATAGTAATCTTTGATACTGAATCATACATTGCACATTTAACTTTATCTGTAGTTTTACTACCATCTGTATAAATTATTATATCGAGGGGTGAAAGCCTATTTGTTTTAAGCGCCACCCAGGGCAAAATTGAGTTATATACCGTTTTGGAATTGGCAGATTTTTCTGCGTCGAATGAGAGGGGTCCCGTAAAGATCGGATGACTTTTTTGGCGCTTAAAACAATTAACACTTTGGCCTCATTTTAGAAAAATGATGTATTAAACGCCAAAAAAAACAATAAAATTTTAGATGCTATGGATATGAACCACACATATATCTTACAAAAAACCGCTTAAACTATTTTTGTTTTCTCAATTAAAATACTCCACGGTGGTTGAAGTGTTTTGCCTGCCACTACTTTTTAGAGGTGACAGTCGCTTAATACATTTTGCTTTTCATAAAAATCAACACGGCTGTTGGTTAAAACAATTAGCCTTTACCTAAAAAATATACAACACGGCGCTTCAACCTTTTTTCCTTTATGTTTTTTCATGATAGCATGTTGTTTAAATCATTATCGTCTGAATGCAAAACTTAACTGGCGTGTCGTTCCAGAGAGTTATCCGCACTCTAGAATCTCATTGAGTGTCGGTCAAACACATCTCAAGTTTACTTGGTGCTACTTGAAGCACTTATCGAAACTCAAAATAGTGATATCTATGTCCGTTCATACATGCAAATATCACTATGTGATAATTTTGCAACGTCGGATCAAACAATGACCGTTAGACGCCGGCGCCTTTTACTCGCGCCGGTATAAATACCCCACCCCTAGCGCGGGCGCTTCAGCCTATCGCAGCCGGGTGACACTGTAGTATAAAATTAAAATTTTTATTTTTGTATGGAAAGTGGTGCCATCTCTTGGCCATGGCGTTGCAATTTTTACTGTATTTGCATCGGGCTAGCCTAGATGTCGCTATAAACGAAGTTTTGGAGTTGCCAAAATATATAATACAAATTAATAATTACTAATCAAAATTGTATTGTGATTTCCTACAAGAAATAAATTTAGTGCTTTTTGTTGGAAAATAGAATATTAAAAAATGTTTGCAGATTTTTCTGAAAATATTTTAACTATTGGCAACACTGTTAAGAAAACAAACTTTGGACATTTTCCGTTTCTTTAAAAGTGTTTTGTGAACTTTGTTGTCTTCTGCGCGTTTACAATATTTTTGGTTTGTTTGCTCCCTTATTGACTTGGCGTGTTTTACGGACTTCTGTTGCTTTTTCGAACTTAATTTTGACCATTGAACAAGGACACCGACACGGATTCATTGCACGATTACCCCAGCTCTGCTTATTGGACCCGACCTCTGCCTATTTTGAAGACTTCGCTACACTCACTGGACTTTGCTTATTGAACTGAAACATGCTCAAGAATCCTCGGTCAAGTTGTTATTTAGGGTGTGGAGAAGCCGAACAAAGTAAGTATCTAAAAGTTATGATTTTTTAAAGTTTTAACTTCAATATAAATAGAATTCACTAAAAATAATATTGTCGATATACGAAAGAAATTTTAATGTTCCTAGAAATATATAATTTTTGTCATAATATTCATTGAATATATTTATTTCAGAACCACTTCATTGTTTCCCCAAACCATTGGAGAAAAACAATGAAAGATTTAATATCTGGAAGTCAGTACTTGACGAAAGGACTCGAGAAAAAGGAGATATTTATATATTTAACCAAATACGACTGTGTCACAGACATTTCGAGAATTATTATAAAACACAATATGGTCGACTAACAAGAAATGCAATACCAACACTTCATCTTAGAAAAGGTAAACATTTATTCAAGTACTTTTTTGATGTCTTAAAGACAAAGACTTACCACTACCACTACCATATATACCACTAGACAAGCTGTGAGGTACTAAACCATGATGTTTTTCTATAAAGTTAATAATAATCACATAATAGTGAAAATGTACAATATAAACACTGCATTTTGCATTAAAACACTATACTTATTATTATATTAATAAATACATATATTCAACTCACATATATGTAAGCCTGATGTAAAAATAAACCATACTTTATAATAATACAAATAGGTTTTGATTAAATAGATATAAGTTCAGTGTAGTTGTTACATTTGAATTTAAAAATATAAGAATAATATATGTATTATTTTTATGTGTATGATTTTATTAAATGCTTCCGCTTGAAAACATGTTTATTTGGCTATTTCAGATACTACCACTCCTACAGAATTTAAATTGACAGTGGAATCATCAATGGAAACATTGAAAAGTTTGGGTAAGTACCTTAATTAATGTTGGAATTCTCACACACCCTTGACCACTTTAATTAAAAATATAGCTAATTATCAAATGAAACATGTAAAGAATGAGGAGTTTTTACAGTCTAGAAAATTACTAAGTTTTTAGCTTGATCACATTTATCTAATTTTTGTATTTAAATATTTGAGAATATTTTATTTTAAGTTGTTATTAATATGAATTAATATTTATTTGTAAAGTACAAAGGACCAACAAAAGCATCTAAGTGTTGAAAATTGCAGCCCCCATTTCTAACCTACTCATGTTTGTCTATTTTTGAAGAATTAACAAAATTTTTGAAATAATTGCAAGGGCAACTCTTTTTAATCCAATTTGATGATAAAATACACCGAGACACAAAACATACATAAAAATGAAAAAACACATTTCTAATATTTTTGTTCATTCATATATTTACTATTTGTGTATACAAATAAAGACTATTCCTTTAGTTTTTACCTTTTTTACCTGTGGCAGTATGTATTACTTTGGCTCTTTATCATGAGTGTGTCTTCCATTAAAGAATACTGTGTATTTTCTGTGAAATGTGCACACCATATATCAGGTAGTTTATGCCTATGAATTTTTACATTATGATTATTTTACTATTTCAGAAGATACTACTAATCCTAGAGTTGAAGAAGGGCCGTCAACCTCATCTGCAACAAGCAGTCATAATATAACAGAATCGCCAACAGAACCATTGACTTTTTCATCCAAAACTGAATTGAAAAGCTTAGGTGAGCATCTATTTATTAATAATTGTTGGAAATGTACATAAAACCTTTGTAAATCATCTCTAATTCCCTAAATATTATATTTGATCAATTTTGCATTTGCAATGCTATACATTTTTCATTAAGAATATTTTCATCCCTAAAGTTATATTAATAACACTTAGTAAGAAGCTAGTCTTTTTGACAATCCAGTGAATGTGTTATGGATGAATTCGAGAAGGTAGTAAAAAATGTTTAAGCTATAATTTTGTATTGTCATAGCTCTAGTAAGTGTAATAATTATTTGTT